TACGAAATCTAAAACATTTAACTGTTCGTATTTTCCATTCAAGTCTGGATTAAGCTTTTGGATGAATAATGCTTCGGTAATTTTCCGTTCTACAGATCCTTTTGTTCTTTTTAAAATCTTAACAGACAGTTTAGGTTTTTGTCCGTAATGTTGGTCGAGGTAGTGTTTTGAGAAAGCCATGTTTTTATAGGACTTTGCTTTCGGGTTTGCTGCGGAACGAAAATGTTCTTGGTATCGAACCACCAATGGTCTGCCTGTCTCGCCTACGTACGTTGCTCCACAAAGGTCACAGTTGATTTGATACACGACATCTTTCTGTGTACACTGAACGGGAGCATTTGAGTTGCTGCAGATTGGGCATTTAGAGGTGTCCGTGCATACTTTATCGTAAGGTCGCGATTCTACGAGGAGTTGTTTAAGCGAGCTTTGTGGTCTTTCAACTATTCTGACATTGAGGTTTGTGGAGCAACGTACGTAGGCGAGACAGGCAGACCATTGGTGGTTCGATACCAAGAACATTTTCGTTCCGCAGCAAACCCGAAAGCAAAGTCCTACAAAAACATGGCTTTCTCAAAACACTACCTCGACCAACATTACGGACAAAAACCGAAACTGTCTGTTAAGATTTTAAAAAGAACAAAAGGATCTGTAGAACGGAAAATTACCGAAGCATTATTCATCCAAAAGCTTAATCCAGACTTGAATGGAAAATACGAACAGTTAAATGTCTTAGACTTCGTAGTTTAAACATTTAAGAGTCCGTCTCTGTAATTTCCGACCACTCGATACTGGTTCAAAAATAAACCCAGCCTTAAACTTTGTGTGTGGATTAAGAAACCCTTGCTTATCATCAATACAAAAGGGGTTTGTTTCAAATTTCAAAAGATTTCGATATTTGGGCAATTTTACGTGTGTACGTCGAAGCACGAAATTAGCATCGCTGCAACACACAAAAATTAGTCATCTTTGTCACGTTCTCGCGCTCTCAAAAATGATTCAATCCGAGACATACTCTGCAGGCCTGCAGTTTATTACACTAGCTCAGCATTTATGAACTCAAACTTTGGATGTCTTAAAACAACTTGGAGATAGTGCCGACTATAAATACGCGGCTAATCGACCGGGTGAAAAAGTAGCATTTCTAAATATATATTTTCTCCATACTGGCACAACTCTACTTATCAAGAGTTGTACACGCTTAATAATTACGAATAACAGCACTAGATTCCGTAAAAACATCCATGGCTATCATCACTGGGACAAAATAAAACAAATTTGAAATGTGGGGATTTTACATACCTGCGCACGCTAGTTACGGCAATTTACATTCATAATTATCCGCTACAAATCGTAAAACAATCGCACATCAAATAGCTCGGAACAGTGGCTAATACTGCAAAATGTGTTGAAGTCAAGTGTCATTGTGTCAAGATGTAATGCGAGACTGTAGAAAGTCTCGCTTCATCATCTCCTTGCCGATACAGCGGCGCCACGTTTATAGCCGTTTTATTACAACTGTAATTCTATCCATCCTCCAAATTTGAATCCACAAAGAAAACAGGATCCTCCAGAGTACATAACAGCATAACTGTATTCAAATGCAGGCTGGCTGTATAAACTGTTCAAAGTCCATGATGTCCATCTAATTTGCAACAAATTCAATGCGACGTTTCATAGTATTTTGACATTTACGTTATCTGATAAACAAGTTTGTGCCAGTGCTTCCACAACCACTTCTTCAAATGTCCTTTCACATTCAATTTCATAATCTCAAAATTTCTCCGCCACCGAAGACAAAAGAAAGAAAATTCAGGCAAATTTGAGTCAATTTATCATAGCACATGTTTTAAAATTAAGTCATACTGTAAGTACCCTCGATGTAGCCCCGGCGCAATGCTTTGCCCCAAGTAGGTCACATCCATTTTCGCTTTTGCATATATTAAACAGCGATAATTACACATCTTAGCGCAAAATGTGTTGAAGTCAAGTGTCGTTGTGTTGAGAACACTTTCAAGGAATTCTTTATGTTGCGAGACTGTGGAAAGAAAGATCGCTTCATCACCTCCATGCCGATACAGCGGCGCTATGTTTATGGCTGCTATCCAACTTCCAAAGCGGCCATAAAAACACAAAACAGCGTCCTCCATAGACATAATTTTACTCGAATGCAGGCTGTACAAACTGCATGAAGATGATGCCTTTGTAACAAATTGAATGGAAACTTTATTTTGACATTGCGTTCTTTCTAATGATAAACAAACTTGCCAATTTTCGCCTCGTTTACCGTCGCTTGCAACTAGAGGTGAACAGTTGCGGTCGCGGATAAAAAATTGTCTATTCGCGTGAGAATCTTTATTACCATTTGCAAGCAACCGTTCGGCCCAAACATTTTTACGCGTTGTTTTACACTTGAAACATGCACTGGAAAATCCGCATGCTTTTTCGTGAATATTATAGAAACCACAGTTTGAACTTTGACTAGAACTAGCCATTGCTATAAAGGATATTAACGAACTGTTCTCAGTGCTTCCACTTCCTTTTGCAAGCTTGTCTAAAATTTCAGGTAATGTAATTATATTTTCGAAGTTTATGCGTGGACTCGTCTGCGTCAAAACAGAGAGCTTTATATATTGATTAATACTGTCGATTCTTTGCGCTAAAATGTGTAATTATCGCTGTTTAATATATGCAAAAGCGCAAATGGATGTGACCTACTTGGGGCCAAGCATTGCGCCGGGGCTGCATCGATGGTACTTACAGTACAACTTAATTTTAAAACATGTGTTGTGATAAATTGACTCAAATTTGCCTGAATTTTCTTTCTTTTGTCTTCGGTGGCGGAGAAATTTTGAGATTATGAAATTGATCATGAAAGGACATTTGAAGACGTGGTTGTGGAAGCACTGGCGACAACTGACCAATGCCACAGCCAATGCAACTGACAAGTTTGTTTATCAGACAACGCAAATGTCAACATGCTATGAAACGTCGCATTGAATATTTGAATTTGTTGCAAATTAGATGGACATCATGGACTTTGAACAGTTTATATAGCCAGCCTGCATTTGAATACAGTTATGCTGTTATGTACTCTGGAGGATCCTGTTTTTTGTGTGGATTCAAATTTGGAAGATGGATAAAACTACAGTTGTAATAAAACGGCTATAAACGTGGAGATGATGAAGCGAGACTTTCTACAGTGTCACATTACATCTTGACACAATGACACTTGACTTCAACACATTTTGCAGTATTAGCCGTAAATTGCCGTAACTAGCGTGCGCAGGTATGTAAAATCCTCACATTTCAAATTTGTTTTATTTTGTCCCAGTGATGATAGCCATGGATGTTTTTACGGAAACTAGTGCTGTTATTCGTAATTATTAAGCGTGTATAACTCTTGATAAGTAGAGTTGTGCCAGTATGAAGAAAATATATATTTAGAAATGCTACTTTTTCACCCGGTCGATTAGCCGCGTATTTATAGTCGGCACTATCTCCAAGTTGTTTTAAGACATCCAAAGTTTGAGTTCATAAATGCTGAGCTAGTGTAATAAACTGCAGGCCTGCAGAGTATATCTCGGATTGAATCATTTTTGAGAGCGCGAGAACGTGACAAAGATGACTAATTTTTGTGTGTTGCAGCGATGCTAATTTCGTGCTTCGACGTACACACGTAAAATTGCCCAAATATCGAAATTTTTTGAAATTTGAAACAAACCCCTTTTGTATTGATGATAAGCAAGGGTTTCTTAATCCACACACAAAGTTTAAGGCTAGGTTTATTTTTGAACCAGTATCGAGTGGTCGGAAATTACAGAGACGGACTCTTAATGTCTCTTTTAGAAAAATATGTCAATTGCAGTTCAAGCGTACCTGCTTCACAGTTTCCTTCGGCCTGTCTAATTGATGCAATGTCTCTTATACAGATGATCAAGTCTGCCGGGTGTTCAGCGTATAAGGAGCTGTCTAAGAAGTACGAAGAGATTGTCTTGACTGCATTACACCGACCCGGGTGCACAAGAGTGGACTTAATTTTCGACCAATATCCCTCTGTTTCAGTGAAGGTTATACAGATGATCAAGTCTGCAGGGTGCTCAACGTATAAGGAGCTGTCTAAGAAGTACAAAGAGATTGTCTTGACCACATTACACCGACCCGGGTGCACAAGAGTGGACTTAATTTTCGACCAATTAATATCCTTCTGTTTCAGTGAAGGCTGACGAACGCACAAAGAGAGGAGAATCAAGCTCCCTAGAAGTAATCATCCACAGTAAATCAACGCGAATTCCGAAGCAATGAGCGAAATACATTTCAAACCCGAAGAACAAAGAAAACCCGGCCGATTTTCTTTGTGAAACTTTAAGTGAACAGCTACCACAACGTTTAAGCTCCTCGGAAAAGGTCGTCTTTGCTGGCGGATTTAGGGACGGATCAAAGACAGTGTCTTTAACTCAAAGCTCAGTGGCAGTTGAACATAATCTACGCTCAGATCACGAAGAAGCGGACACCAGGCTTCTGCTTCATTCCAAACATGCTGCCAACACCCACCCAAGGATTGTGATCCAATCACCAGACATTGATGTCGCTGTGCTTTCAATAGCACACTTTGAAGATTTGTCCTCCAAGAGTTATGGTTTAAAACTGGTGTAAAGGACAGACAGAGATACATACCCATCCATAACATTCACCTTTCCTTTGGCCGACTTGTTTCCAAGTGTCTGCTATCGTTTCACGCGCCAACAGTGTGTGTCTCCACCAGTGCCTTGTCTGGAATAGGAAAGAAGAAAGCCTCGAATGTGCTGCTCAAGAAAGAGCGGATACAGCAGGACCTCAGGAATTTTGGTAAAAATCCGGTCATTGAAGAGTTTGAGCAGAAAGTCGCTGAATCCTTCATCTGCTCCATTTACACGTCCGCACAAGAATTTTTGAACTCTGATGATGCCCGATACTGTTTTGTCAACGAAGTTTGAAGAGTGAAGAACTCCCTCCCACATCAGAAAGCATTTCTCATCACATCGAGAGAGCAAATTTCCAGGCATGTGTTTGGAACAGAGCTTTACATCCATTTCAAAGCATACCCTCGCCAGCAGGAAATGGTTGGAAATTGGAAGATGGAAAGCCAGTTCCTGTGTTGATGACATGGAACCCCGCCCCAGTAGGCATAGTGGAGTTGACAACGTGCCGCTGCACAACTTCCGAGTGCAAACGGAATTGTAAGAGAAATGACCTTGCATGCACCGAAGCTTGTTTATGCATGGCCGACGAAAAATGCAGCAACCCTTTCAACGAAGAATCCCATGTCTACGGTGACTCCAGTGACTCCGAGACTGAATGACAAAATTAACACTGGACAATGTTGTGTGGAAAAAGTAGATATTACGGTAAAATATGTTAATTCAGTAAAATTTCGAGACACACAACAGTATATTGTTTAGTGATATATTATAATGTTTTAAAAACTTTCTTTATTTTCGCAAATTTGGCACGTTATAGGGTTTCAGGTAGGGAGCGGCCGAGCAAAGAGCCTGGGTACAAGTTTATAGAGATGTGCTTATTTCGACTATTTCTTTAACGTTTTTCTATGGAAATGAATTTTTTTTGACGAAATGGGACAGAATACTACCAAAGGTGTTGCTATAAATTATTATAATGCGAATCAAACCTTAAATAACGTCTCAACCGGAATTTAAACATACAGCAATTGACTGTAAAGCGGATTTTTGATGAAAAGCAGTCACGTGACAAATCATGTGACGTGATTTGTTGCTATGCAGTCCAACAAATGTTAAGCACAGACCAACCCTTGATCGCTTGATAGTTTTTAGGGTATTTAGATTACATGCAGAATATAGATTTGAACGGTAAATAGTGCCGCAACCTCGTTTTGATGTTGAGTACGATAGCGGGTAAAGAACCCCAGATATACGACTATTGGTACCACAATTCGAGACTACATAGTACTTAGTCTTAAAGGGCACTTATTGTTCTGTAGGAAACTGGTGTCAGACCTTTTCTGTCGGGTCGGTTGAACCAACTCCTTAAATAAGGTGTTTTCACAAAGCAGATCCTTTACCATAGAAGGTGAAACAGTGCACCAATTTTTCAGTCTTGACGTTTCTAATTTATATGGTTCAATACCGTTGGAGGCCATTAATACTAAAACACTTGGAGTTTTTACTGTTGTCAAGAAATTCTTTTCCAAATATAAATCAGACTGTCAATTGTGGGTATTAAGTGATGACGATTTTGAAGCACTCATTCGTTTATGTAGCCTATATCTAGTGACACGGTACTAATTGGAGGAAAGGCTTACAAACAGCAATCAGGTTTAGCTATGGGCAACAACCTAGCTCCAACTCTGGCCATAATATACATGAATGAAAGCGATTCTCTTATCATTGAGAAAACAAACGGTCGTGTCAGCCTTAAAAGATACATTGATGATTACTTTGCTTCCCTATTTTCTAAAGAAATTACCGCCGAAGAACTTTTAAAGATAGCTAATGACCAAAATGATGCAATCAAATTTACACTAGAACTACCCAATAACAACCAATTGCCATTTCTCGACACATTAGTCACTTTTAACTCGGATAACCACAGGCGGCCCAATCTCAGAATGAATGACCAGGTGTTGCGGGTTTTTAACGTTTTTTATAAACAAATTTATAGTCAACCAAAACTATTTTAAAAACATTCTTAAATTAGTCAAATAAATACATTTTAGCAATAAAATATAGTTGACATGATAGTATAATACCTTTGCATTCTTTTAATTACTCCATGAGCTCATTTAGAGCGGTTGATGTAACATTTTCTGTGGCCTACATTGTGTGTGCTTATCTATATATAATATAACAGTAAAAGGCTAATCACTGGCGGCACGACCGCATCGCCTTCAAAGTCAAATATCTCCGCTCAAACTTCTCGTACGCCAAAACTAATTCGATTACATCTTTTCACAAAGATTTCTCTTTCTAAATAATATGGTTTGATCGTAGCTTGGGCAAATTTAGCGATGAACGGAACCAAAATCTCCTCAATTTCGGATACTGTTCAAAATACTTAGGGCTGCTCGGGCACGATCGTGGACGTGACGTAATCAATACATACTGACAATAACGCCTTACCACCTTACGTGGGGTGGGACAGCATAAAGCGACAAACTATCGTCGAATTTGATATGCTGTCTCACCCCATGTAAGGCGTCGATCTTTGTGAAAAGATGTAATCGAATTTGTTTTGGCGTACGAGAAGTTTGAACGGAGATATTTGACTTTGAACGCGATGCGGTCGTGCCGCCAGTGATTAGCCTTTTACTGTTATTGCTGCCGCAGCGAGCGAGCCTGAAGCGAGTGAGCAAGGCAGCAGATCCTAATTTTGTTTTGTGGGTCGAAATCAAAATTTCCTATTTGGCGCATTGCATGACGGTACCAGTAAATTTTAACCGTGGTGCAGCGCGGTCAGGCATAAGGCAAACAGGCGATGTGATCATCTTTCATCTTTGGTCTTCTTTTATGGAAAGCCATAGCTGGCTTAGAGTGATCAAACGGTATTTTGTTGGGTGCTTTTAGCATTATACGGCGGTGCTTTCGGCATTATACAAGGTGCTTTCGCCATTATACGCGGTGGGTCCAGTATTATACGCGGTGCTTTCACCATTTATATACGCGATGCTTTTGCAATTATACGCAGTGGTTCGAGCACTATATGCGGTGCTTTTAATATTATACGCGAAGCTTTCATTCAACATTATTTCCATATTCTTTCCATGACATGTATATGATTTAACGATTGCTTAAATTTGGTATGTGGTTGACAAATGCTTTTTGCCTATGGTCTGCATGGACAATGACATGCTTTTCTGTGTATATAAATGAATATAACGCAGAGAATGCGCCAAACAGTATAAACGCGGATGAAATACGATATTAAAATCTTAAATGTGCCGTATGATTTTTTAATTATGTTTTAGAATTTACAAATGCTTTGTTATTTGTATTTATACTTGTACTGCATCACAAGGCTGTAGTACATAAGTGAAAAAAATTCCACACGTGAGATTGTCTTGTATACATTTTTGCTTTCTTTGATAAACATTATTAAACACGCAAATTTTAATTAGTGAGACGCAATGTTAAATGTCACCTGCATGTCATTGTCATTGCCCTTTAACCCCTGGTCTAATTGGCCGCTTTTGAACTGATGTTGATCATGACGAACCGCACTGCCTTAATTATGCAAACTTTGTGTTTTAAAAACGGGTTAGGATAAAACGCGGATACGGACGGATGGATGAATGACGGACGGACGGACGGACGAACGGATGGCGACGGACGGACCGGACGGATGACATATATATGTCATTATATAGTCTGCGCGCAGCCGCGCAGGGTAGTTAGTGGCTTACGTCTTCGCTGGTTGTTTTACTTTAAAATAATTTTGTACCGATAAATATAATATATATAATTATATTCCGATATATATAATTTTATACCGATAAATCAACATTCCGAGTATATAAATATATAAACTGGGATGTCACACTGATAGCTTGTTTACATTTCCTGAAGCATCATGAAATCTTATGTTTAACCACGGTGGTTTAATCCATTAGCTGGCAATGCGCCCTTCCCTTGTCCAACGCCAAAAGATTTTACTCGTCAGTGGTATAGGGTACTGCCAGTAAATGGGTTAACAAACCTATCTGCCAATGGCTCTTGTTAATTCATCAACACAGTAATGGACCCTACTTTAGTATTTACCCTGTCCAACGCCAGACGATTTTTAATACTCAGTCAGTGGTAGGGTACTGTCAATAAATGGGTTAACAAGGATAACAATAATAGGATGTTTCTGAAGGACTCGTTCAACACCCTGTAGTTTGTCTTTTGCTGTCAAAGGAAGCATTACTGGCCTGTGGGTAACCTAGTATTATATATAGATGAGCACACACAATGTAGGCAACAGAAAATGTTACATCAACCGCTCTAAATGAGCTCATGGAGTAATTAAAAGAATGGAAAGGTATTATACTATCATGTCAACTATATTTTATTGTTAAAATGTATTTATTTGACTAATTTAAGAATGTTTTTAAAATAGTTTTGGTTGACTATAAATTTGTTTATAAAAACCGTTAAAAACCCGCAACACCTGATCATTCATTCTGAGATTGGGCCGCCTGTGGGATAACAAAACGTTTTCTACTACATGTCTGTATAGGAAGCCCATACACAGTGGTTGTATTATACCGTGGGGTAGCCACGGCTCGATAGCATCAAAAAGAGCGATACTTATTGGCGAAATCAAGCGAGCTATCTATTGCTCTTCCAATCAACAAGCTCGAAGGAAATCGTTAAGCATAGTGACAGAATTGTTTTTAAACAATGGGTACCCCAGAGAAATGATAAGAACGACCATTCGAAATACGTCACGTATAACTACCACCACAATAAAATGAAGACGACGAACAACAAAAAACTATTTACATTAAAATCCCTTCATTAATGAAGAATTTAAACGACGGGCATTGGGTGTCGTACGCCGTTCAGGTATAGCGAACATTAAAATATACTTTGAGAATGGCAGACCATTGGTCAAGAAATAAACTAAATTGTCCTGACAAATGCGTAACGTGTAAATTAGCATCGAAGCGTAACCACTGTTTAGCGAAGAATGTGGTCTACCAAATTACATGCACGATCTGCGATATTACATACATCGGCGAGACAGGTAGAACAATAGGCCAAAGAATTAATTAAAGAACACTTATCAATGGATAAACAGACCGTATACAGACACTTAATTTCCCACAATCAGAGACCTGAGGACGCTAAAATAAGTTTTAATGACTTGCATCAACTCAAAGCTTACAAAAAACTATATACCGGACATTTTAGTGGTTAACAGAGATTTTCAAGTGGTTCTGGAGTTATTGCTGTTCCAAATGTGATAAGCCAAAATCTCGCAAAAATCCTAGTTACTAGTCTGAAAACACGCTTTAATTAACAGCTCATAACTCAAGAAGAACTTGAAAAACCCTGGTAACCGTTTAAATGTCTGACATGTAGTTTTTTTAAGCTTTAAAAAAGATGTAACTCATTTTTGTTAGAAATATATTTGAAATTTCACATTTTTTAACCCTAATACAGTTTAAGGGCCTGTTTACATGGTGGTAGGGTGACCCTAGCAGAAGGGTTACCCTAGCAAGCGGGTTACCCTACTTCAATATGTTTTATAGGAAGCGTTTACATGCGCGCTAGGGTTACCGTAGGGGTAGGGTTACCCTATCAAACTGATAGGGTTACCCTATCAAACTGATAGGGTGACCCTAGCAGCAGGGCTATCTTTTTGTTTGCATAAGCCATGTAAACGCGTCAGGTAGGGTTACCCTAGCAAGCGAGTCATGTTTTATACGTCCTACTGTGACTGGTGGACAAACAAGGATGGCGTCGCTAGATTATACATATGAACATATCAGCCTGGCGAGTATTTTAAACGACACCAGAAAATAAAAAGAATAAGTAATTTACAAATAAGGAAACAGAGGCATAGAACGAAGCTTTGCCTTTGGACGAGAACGCTGCGAATGATGTAGTTTCGATAACAAAGTCAAATACGGAGAAAAGGAAGCAAAATTCCGGCGCATCCTCATCGACGTCAAAAAAACAAAATAAATGCTCTTGGTCAGCCGCACATGTCGAAAAACTGTTTTGTTGGACTATATCAAGGAATATATTACGCAATGAGAGTAATAGACCACAACATTGAAATAACAGACCACAACATTGAAATGCAGCAAGCAAAGACCCAATAAATAGCATTACACAACTTGCCGCTAAGACTTGGCGTTTCGGCGCCATTTATCTAATACAGACGGCTTAGCGACCACGCATAGGTAGGGTTACCCTATCGGGCAACATAGCCCTAGCAGTAGGGTCACCCTACCTCATGTAAACGCTCGCTAATTTCTGACCCGCTTACTAGGGTAACCCTCCTGATAGGGTCACCCTACCCCCATGTAAACAGGCCCTAATACAAAATTCGAAGAAAAAAGTGACGGCAGGAGTCCATGGGAAATTTAAAACGCCGTCGACATAGAGAAACGTATTTACCAGCTTTCAGGTGACAATACGAAGGCAAAATGAAATTGCCCCTCGATATATATGTATGGTATAAAGTTTTCCATATTTTTTGTTCTTCTATCTGCCTGACTATAGAGTATAGATAGAAAATTGTTCACCCGAATAAAAATATATTTAAACTGTTATAAATGGAATAAACCTTTCTTTAATTTGCTGATTATAATTCGATAAACACGGCTTTAATATCTAACGATGCATCAGTCGCGATGCTAGCCATGGCAACTCGTCATGCTGTCCGAATAAACCTGCGTCATCTAAATAGGTTAAAGACAAACATTTCTAAAGGTTGGAATAATGTAATTCATTAACAATTTGCATAGCATGACCTACTATGGCTAGCTTTGTCATGCAATGTATTGTCTTCATTTTCCAGGCCTTTTTAAACTTAAATACTGTAAAAACTTCAAACATAAACAAATTAACAAAATACAATGTTCGATTCCATCCTGACTAATTAATACGGCTGACCTGCCCTTGCATCTTTTTATCTCACTCCGACAAATATGGCTCGGAGCAAGAAAATGTTTCGCAGTAATCGATAAAAGAAAGGAACTGATCACACAACATTAAACATTGACGAGAAAGGCGAACTAGTACAACCCAGAAATCTACTCTCGGAGTATCAGGTGATCAAACGGGTCTTATAAACAACAAACGAAGCTTAGAACAGGTGATTGATGTAGAAACGTATAGAACAGGGACAAAGCAAACACAGGGCAGCCCTCCGACTGAGAACACTAGAATTGAGAATTATTATAAGTAATAGCATGGCTTGAGGGAGATTAGTGATTAAATGGCCCTGTAACCGAGAGTAAGGGGTCATTTAATCACTAATCTCCCGAAAAGCCATGCTATTAGTTTGTAATAGCATAGTTGCGCTCCCGTTTAAAAATGGACAAACATGCCCTACTTGCATCAGCGAATTTAAGCTAAAACAATTGCTTTTTTGCTTGTGGAATGTAAAAGCTTGCTGCACATGCTTTAATCGGTTACGCATGCTCAATCTATCATTTAACGTACCACAACAAAAACAATAAATATATTAGTATAAAATCGGAGACTGCACGAGCGTAATTTATATGATGCAACAACTCAGGGAGGGGATGATAGGCTATTTACGGCTCTGAGCTAACTGTTGCTGTTCCTTGCACGATTATGTGCGTGAGGCACTTGCCTAATGCGTAGTCGGCAGGGAGACAAGGGGTGTAACCCTTGGTAACGGACGATTAGTGTTATAAAACTCAGTCTTTTGACTCGTGTCTTAGACGAGCAAGATTTATTACTGAACAAAACAACCTATTGTCTACACAATATATAACCTAATTATGAATAAATTACCATCTATGACATCTTTCTTTTATAAAAATAGATAAGTTATTTTTTCAAAAGTTTTCTAGTCAAGTTTTCAAATCTAAATAAATCTAAACATGTCCTAATGTTGAAATGTTCCTTATCACAGTCTCTCTTTCAAAACAAAATCCTTCAAATGTGTTGGTAATCGGCGCAAACGCTGAGATCTTCGAACTTCGGTGTGTCCAGAACTGTTACTATCTTGTTCATTTGATGGAGATGGAGGAATTGTGGTACCCTGGGTGCCAGAGCCTCTTCGGATAGAAGTGAGGATACGACGAGGAGGCTCTGGTCACACGAGTATCCAGCCTCACTCAGGTGAGTTCAATATTTTTCATTGGTTAACCGACGCTCATCGGTTAGCCAATGAAAAGACTCACATAAATTTAGACCAATCACATACAGAGTTCAAATATTGAACTCACCAAAGTGAGGCTGGATGCTCGTGTACCAGAGCCTCCTCGTCGTGTCCTTTATCACAGGAGGCTCTGGCACCCAGGGTAGAATTGTGGTTGAGGCTGATGGCAAACTCAGCTCCACGGTAGGTACGATCATTGGGGTTGAGGTAATAGGTTCTCTGGGCGGTCTCATCAATGGATTTTGAGTAGGTGCATCATTGTTGTTTAAGGATATATCGGACCTTCTTAAATGAACTCTGTTTCGTCGCAGAATACCGCAGGGTGTTTGCACTTCGTAGGATCTCTCATCCATAAAGGAATACCGAATGGTTTTCTGTGCAGGATTGCGTGATCCATGCACGCGGGATGTCGCGAGACTTTCGGAAAGCGTGAAAATACACGAGCCGTAGGCGAGTGTATTTTTACGCTTTCCGAAAGTCGAGCAACATCCCAAGTGCATGGATCATGGATGCATGGATCACACTAAGTTCCTGTCATGATCGGCTTCACTGGTACCATAAATCAACACATCGTCAGCGATACACTTGACGCCAGGAAGGCCTTCTAACTCTTGATTTAGACGCTTCTGGAATATCTCGCTCGAGACATTGAGACCAAATGGAAGACGAAGCCATTTGAAACGACCATAAGGAGTTGCAAAAGTTGTCAGGATCACGCTCGACTCTTCATCCAGTTTGAGATGCCAGAAAGCTGAAGCTAGATCCACTTTATCCACATCTGTCAGATCTGGTAATAGGTCATCAATCACAGGGATTTGATAATGTTCCCTCTTCAAAGCAGCATTCAAGGGTTTTGGATCGATACAAATCCGCAACGAACCTGATTTCTTCATGGCGACCACGATTTGGCTGACCCATTCCGTTCGTTTGTCCACAGGGGGTATGACTTTTAAGTCTTCTAATCTTTTCAGTTCGTTTCTGAACTTTTCTCTAACAGCCACGGGTATTTTCCTCGCGGGTAACACCACAGGTTTGCAAGTGGCATCTACTTGCAGATGAACCTTGCCGGGCAGTGTCCCAAGATTTTCATCAAAAACATCTGGATACTTGTTTACAGGATCATTGTCACATGCATTTCTCCACGACATTGACAAAGTTTTCGCTGTGAACTGTTAGCAATTTCATCTTCTCTACCGCATTCAAACCCAATAACGGTGTCCAATTCTCTTCGACGACCAGAAATTTCACTTGATACTTTACGTCATTCTTTGGGTTAATCACCGGTAGGGTACAAGATCCCAAGGGTTTGACCTTTGTGCCATTCAACATCACGAGTGTCTTGGTACACGGAGTAAGCTCGACATCTTTGGCAAACTTGAGCGGTAATACATTAGCACTTGCACCACAGTCGATCTGAAACTTTATAGCTTTGTTATTGATGTGCATTTTCGCAAACACAGCCTTTTCTCGCACTGCTTGGACTTTGACCATGCTGATTTCCTATTACTCGTCTTCGCTCTCGATACTGTAAACTGAGGTTTTCTTGCATTTCTTAGCAAAATGGTTTCTTTCTTTGCATCGATTACAAGTTTTTCCCCATGCCGGGCATTTCTTTTTGTCTGGCGCGTGTTCGTAGCCACAAAATTTACATGAAACTTTCTTGCCAGATTGTAACCTTTTCTTTCCTTCGAAAACTCTTGGCTTAATCTTTGCTTTCGACTGGAGTTGATTTATATTTTCGGGCTCTGCAAGAGACTTCACCTGCATGTCCGTAACTTCCTCGCTTCGACATATGTCTATGCATTTGTTTAAGGTGAGATCTCTTGTTCTTAGTAGCTTCTTCGTTGTTTGTTCATTCTTAATTCCCAGGACAATGCGGTCATGAATTAAACTATCGCGAAGGCACTCACAGAGATTGCAGGTCTTTGCCAAGGTTTTCAACTCAGCCACGAAATTGTCCACGGATTCAGTTTGAAGTTTATCGCGTCTATTAAAACAGTATCTTTCGTATATCTCGTTTACTTCCCCAATGCAATGCTTTTCTAATTTGCTCATGACCACACGCTAGTCATTAACATTCTCTTCTGTTGCGTAACTGAATGTTTTAATGACCTTTAAGCCATCGTCCCCAATTGCATGTTTAAACATCGCTAACTGATATTTCGTTATTGATTCTTGTTGTAGTCTCGAGATAACGAAGTAGTTGCTGTATTTCTCTTTCCATAGTTTCCAATTTTCGGTGATTTCACCGCTATTTCTCAAGTCTAGAGGCTGTGACGGTAATATTTGATGTAGCATAGCTAATTGTGTTGGTTGTACTTGAGGTATTTCGCCTTGAATAATTTCTGGCGTTTTATTCTCCATGCCATAGTCGTAGACGGTATGATTTGTCGACGACTAAACTAGTATTGGTTACGAATATTCGCTTTAACACGCTGCCACGATGTTATAAAACTCAGTTTTTTGACTCGTGTCTTTAACGAGCACGATTTATTACTGAACAAAACAACGTATTGTCTACACAATATATAATCTATTTATGAATAAATTACCATCTATAACAATTAGAAGTAATCGTTATCATTGGTAAAGAATGCTAACCTGGGAGACACGTAAGTTCGATGTACAGGGTATCCCAAAGAACCCCGAAAACTATTGAAATTAATGTATTGTTAGAATTTGAATGCCTCAACCCTTTGCTGATGAACCCACACGCACATCAAAGCTTGATATGAGTAAATTGTATGCATAAAGAAACCGTTTAGGAAGCTGCTTTAAATTCCCATGAGCAGAAAATCGTGCGCTTTGCAAAGATATTTTAATTTCTTAATATGTCAATATTTAATATATGCACCCTTGTCAATATTTTACGCATCTTTGCGCCAGCTTCTAATGCTAGTGCATTCAAATTTTAAAAATTAATATACTTATTTCAATGGTTTTCGTTTTTTGGGACACCCTGTAGTAGCCCGGAATGTTGTGCAGAATCCCAGAATCATGTGTGATCCACGTCCACGCTGGGATGAAGTAATTTAGACGCCTTTTCTATGGAGGATGACAGTGACAAGGATCTGTATATTACGCGGAATGTGTTTACTAGTGACAAGGTTTCGGACAGTGATTGTCAGCTAGATTTAGATGCAGTAATAGAACTGGCTTATAGAGGAGAGGAAAGTGAGAGCGAGGTGAGAAATACTGTCTTTCAGAAGCTGTAATAATTTGTAGTTGAGCATGCGAAGTGTCTAATTTCACCTTATTTTACGTCCCACAAGCAAAATAGTAGATCTTTTTGTATAAATTCCCTGAGTGCGAATACAACTAGGGTTTTCCAGCATGTTCTCTGACGCTGGATGATCGATAGTGACTGGCAGAGTTACGACTGAAATCTCTTTCTCGTCAAGGGGACGTCCAGCGTCTATCCAAACGAGAGGGGAGATCCTCTTTCGAGGTCGATAGGTATTTATCAACCTCATTCATTTATTAATGAGGTTGATATGAACATATCAACCTGTTGAAAAATGTTGATATGAACATATCAACCGCTTGAAGAGGTTAATATGAACATATCAGCCGCATAGTTAGGGCAATTATTTCAGCCCCTCTCTCTCCCCTGAAATATTCAAATTCCGCCCCCTGCTTTCAAAATGTAGGCCGGAAGGTGTATTTGCTTGAAATCAATTAACCTGATGAGAACAATAGAAACTGAGGCAATGATGACATAAATGGTTATAATAGCATAGTTGCCCGGGTTTCTTTTGTTTCAACAGGGTCGATTACTAACTAATCGCCCGCTGTAGCGGGCGATTAGTTCTAATCGCCCGCTAGAGCGGGCGATTAGAACTAATCGCCCGTTACCAAGGGTCACACCTTTGTCTCCCTGACGACTACGCATTAGGCAAGTGCCTCACGCACATAATCGCGCAAGGAACAGCAACAGTTAGCTCAGAGCCGTCAATAG